ACACTTTGAAGCACTAACACTCATAGCAACTGGGGTTCCAAGACCTGGGCAGTCCCTGTGTTGACCCCTTTGTGACTCTGAGAGAGCTAGCTAGGCCTTATATCCCCCACCTGCATGAGGAAGTGGTGTGAATATAAATCTTCCATGCTGGAAAATCCCACACAATTGACAGCAATAGTTCACAAAGGAGGGGAGCATGAATCCCCAACACTTTAGTGTGGGCTGCACAGGTGACTTCCTGCCAAGGAGGGCAGTATGGGAAAGGTGAGGTGCAAGAATAACAGTGGAGAAACTTGATCATCTTAACTCAGCAAGCATTAACTTCCAACAGAGATGAATCATGCTAAGACAAGTTATATGTACACTTGATCAGATGTGATGAAAATGACATTTTACCTCTGTGGCCTTCCATTAACCCACAGCCCCATTCTAAGCAGGAGTAAAACCATCAGACAAATGCAATCGATGGGCATCCTGCAAAATGCTACGCAGTACTCAAAAGGGTCCGAGTCAGCATATACAAAGGAAGCCTGAGAAACTCACAGCCACAGGAGCCCAGGCAGTGCAACAACTACATACAATGTGGCATCTGGGGTAGGATGCAGGAACCGAAAAGGAGCACTAGGTAAACACAAAAGAAAGCCACATAAACTGGGTTACCAGTTGGGCTGCTAACCACATGACAGGAGCTGGAAACTACCAGCCTCTCCACATGAAAACAATGAGGTTCGGCTCTCAAGACTCACATGGACAAGTAGTGATACCACGAGGGTCGGGGGGAGCTAGGGGGGGAAGGGGGAGAAATGGGGAACCAACTACAATGATGGATGTACAGCCCCCAACTCCCCACCCCGGGGGGCAATAGCAGAAACATGGGCAAAGGGAGACAGCGGATGGTGTAAGATATAAAAATAATAATAATTTATCAGGGGTCCATGGGTGGAGGGGAGAGCTAATACCAAGGGCTCAAGCAGAAAGAAAATATTTTGAAAATGATGATGGCAACATATGTACAAAAGTGTTTGATACAATTGATATATATTGTTATAAGAGCTGTCTGTAAGAGCCCCCGATAAAATGATTTATTAATAATAAAAAAGTTATAGGGACAGTTCTACCCTGTCCTATATGGTTGCCATGAGTTGGAACTAACTAGAGGGCAGTGATTTTGGCTTGAGTTTTTAGTGAATGATATCAATATTAGTTGATTAATTATAATTTCCCATTCTAAGAGTCCTGTTGGTGCAGTTCAAACCCACCAGCTGAGTGCTCCAGGGAAGACAGATGTGGCAGTTTGCTGCCCAGGAAACCCTAGGGAACAGTTCTTCTCTGTCCGGTAGGGCCACAGAATCAGCTAAATGGCAATGGGTTTTTGGTCTCATACTAATGGAATGTTCACATAGGGGAAATTGAGAACAGGGCATAAGGGAACCCATCTATAGGGGTCTTAATGGAGCATGATTATACAAAATGTGGTGCAGGTATATAGACTTGCTTCAATAAATTAAAAATAAAGTGCAAATTTTAATTTTTTTAAAGGGAATGATGAAAGCAGGCTAAGAGTTCCTGAATGTGGCAAACGATTAGATACTTAACTACCACTCAATCGGTGGTTAGTTCACACCGACTCTGAGGCATCCAAGATAGGTGTACAATGTTCCTAAGAGGTCGCAGTCTTGAAAACCCAGTGCAGGTTTTCATATACATAAGGTTCAGCAATTATGCAGTCTTAACTAAACTCTTCTTTTATATAGAAGAGTTGTATTATAAAAACAAACTGGTTAGATCTCATACATAGGTTTATGGGTTTTCTTGGAACACTAGCAAACGCAAAATAGAGTCTTTTCTTTTGAGGCTAACTGAGGAAACGCCGATATTTTTGGAATGAACAGTCTGTATATTAAACCAATATCTTAAACATTACAACCATCTTTAGAATCAACAGAACTTAGTGAGGATTGGAATAAATGAGTTAGGTGACAGCAGGAATCCTCTTTATCCTTAAATGACAATGCAACTCAGAACAGGATTTCTAAACCAGTAGCAAGTTTCCCCCTAAGGGACATTTCGGCAATATCTAGAGACAGTTCCGACGGTTCCGGACTGGAGGGGATATGGGTGCTGCTGGTACCTAGCAGAGAAAGGGCAAAGATTCCCTGAGCCATCTTACAACACTCAATACATCCAAAATGCCCACGGCAAGGTTGAGAAAACCCTCCTTAAAAGGAGGCTTATGACCCAGTGAGTCTATACCTTAGAATAGGATCAATTTTGTCCTAGGGTTGATTTTTTTTAAATGTTGACAGCTTGCCAACAAACACGAAGCTCTATTAAATGACACTCTTTTTTCGAAGTGCTACCAAAAAGAAAGTTCATTGGTTTTCCAATTTAACTACCCCTGTGCAACGTTACAAAAGCTGTAAGCAAAAAAGGGCAATGGATTGATAAAAGAAAAAAATTTACACACACACGCTGAGTCTCAGAGGAGAGAAAGAAACCAGATGTGAAAGAATGCACCTTACACGATTGCCTGTATACAGATTTTAAACACAGACAAAACGGACTCTCTTATGTGAGAAATGCAGTTACCTTGGAAAGGATGGGTAGGGTAGGGCTGACAGGGGACCTAGAAGGGGCATCTGGGACCATGATAATTCTGTTTCTTAATCTGACAGTCATTACATAAATATGTTCTCTTTGTGACAATTCACCAAGCTGTATACTAATAATCGATGTGTACTTTCCTACATACACACGAAAACGTTAGGTTGTCTCTATGTTACATTTTCATAGGATAAAAAAACTAGGCACTTTGACCCATGAAGTTACAATGACTGTCAACTGCAAAAGTGAAAGTGTTTTGTTACATGGGCTCTAAGAATCCAAGTATGACACCCCAGAAATCCATAAACACCACCCTCAGCACTGATACAGCATTCTGCCCGACACTTAAGCTACTATACATCCCTTGGCAACATTCCAGAAATTTGACAAATATTAACAAATGCAGTAAATTTGTTCCATGGACAGTTTATTTCCCCCAGTATTACAGCGTAAATTGTTTTCAGAGAACAGGCTCTGTGAAATAATGCTTTCGCTTTCCAAATTCCATATTTTCCTTAAAAAAAAAGCCCAAAAAACTAAAAACTGAACTTAAAACCCTTGGCCCTCAACTCATGACTTTTCCAGAATGCTTTAAAAAGTTCCTCTCCTAGGATCCTGCCTCCAACACATAGGGCAATTCACATGAATGCCCATTCCAGAGGTGAGTTTTCCCAGCCAGACTTCTGCCCTCCTCTCTCAGCACCTCACAACACAATCTAAAGCCCCAAACACCCTCCAAACCCTAATATTGTCCACAAAGTTCCTTCCACTACAAAGCCAGGGCACCTGCTATTCCAGACTGTCCCATCCTCTGCCCACTCTTCCATCATCCTGCTCAGCAGGCATACATATGCAGGCTGGACACCGAACAGGGACGACCAAAGAACTGATGCATTTGAATTATGATGCAAGCAAAGAATCTTGAAAGTATCATGAACTGCCAAAAGGTCAAAGGTCAAACAGATCTGTCTTGGAAGTACAGCCAGAATGTTCCTTAGAAGGCAAGACTTTGGTCTTTACTTACACACACACACACACACACACTCCTGTATTCAAATCCAACCCTTTCTCTTTCTTCAGAATCCTTCCCTAAGCACCAACAGGTCAGGATTGTAAAGAGGAAGACAGGTGTTGCAGGGCTGTGGTTGGGACAGAAAGGTTGCATAAGTCACAAGCACACCACCCACACGAGCCCGGCGTGGGCTGTAGAGTCAGACCGCTGGATTCTGGAACCCAGTTCTATCAGGCGCTGTCAGGCTCTGCAGAGGCCTGTTCTCCATCGGACGCCTCGGTTTCATCAACTACACCACGGGGGTCATGAAAATAGCAATCTCTCCGAGTTGTGTGGTTGAAAACAGCCCGTGCTTGTTTGCGCATGGCATAAATCAGGGGAGCTTGCAGGAACAGCTTTTCCCGGGTCCTCTACTTGGATAAAGGAAGACAGAGAGGGAGCACAGTACTCTGTTGAAATCGCTTTAAAGCTAATATTCCTGCAAAATCGATTCGTGGGGATAGAGAGAGGGCAAGGGATAGGAGGAGGCAAGTGCTAAGTAGGAGCGACAGAGAGAGCTTTGTCGGATCCCCAAACTCAGCGTTCTCCTTTATTAACCTCCTGCAATGTGGCCCCTTAGGGTCCTTC